TGTTTTATTTGTCTATATTTCTGTGATGATTGATTGTTACATACACACTTCGGCTGATGTCTTCCAGCCTTCTTGGGTTCTGTTTGTCAAACCCAGTAACTGTAATGTAAATTTAAACCAAAGTCTTTATTCACTCACAGGGAATAGATTGAATAAAGGATTCAGTGACACCTGTAAATAGTATAAATTTCTGATTCAATATATCTTTCACCAGAAATCATAATTACCCCTTTCTGTTGTTTAATAATTATCAGTGTTCATAGCAAAAATACATATTTTCATTTATTTATCTTTCAACACATCCTATTATCCTCAGGTGTGAATAAAAATGTTATTCTAAGTATTTCATAAAGTGGTTGACTTCATTTTCTTCTAAAATTTCTGAAAATCCTACATTTTTCAATAGGCCTCCAGTTCTGGCTCTCAGTTGCGCCATGACTTGGCCTGGAGTATAGAACGCCATGCATACACCCCTTTCTATTTACTTATTCATTTTCTATTAATTTAGGTGTTTTGCTCCCAGTTTAAGTTCTTGATTCTTCTCACGTCTTTCCCCACCAAAAATCAAGTTTACTTAGCAGTTCAAATGGATCTTTGTGTCATGTTGTTAGGAGTAACAATGGTTGATAAAATATGAATAGGTGATAAAAAAAACCTTTTCTTTAAAAAAGAATACAAGCTGGGAAGTTTTTTACATTCATTCATCTTGATTTTGATTATGTAACACAGTCTAAAAATGCATGCATTCAACCCTCTACTCTCTTTCTCTCATCAATTTGGGTCCCACATGCTGCGATTGATTGTCAAAAGAGAGAGAGTTGATTGTAATGACAGCACAATCCCTCTCTTTCAACAATCTGGATTTCAAGTGTCATGTTAAAAAGTGGGTTGACCTCAATGCTAACACAACTCCCCCGCTCTCTCTTTCAGTAATTTAAATCCCAAATTCTGTGACACAAAAAGAGTTGATTTCAATGGTAACCTAGCCCTCTCACTTTCTTCAGTCTGGATTCCAAGTGCTGTGATAGAAGGTTGACCACAATGACAACACAAATCCCCCTCTCTTTCAGCAATTTGAATCCCAAAAAAAAGAGTTGATTGTAATAACACAAGCCTCTAGCTTTCAACTGTCTGGATTCCAAGTGCTGTGGTAGAAATGGTTTGATGACAATTTGGACCCCATTTGGTTTTCAACAGCTATTAACTGTTACCATTACCAGAGCAGTAAGACTGTTATGGGATAGTGCAGCAGTTCTGAACCTTTTTTGTGTTATTGCCCACTTTCACATGGAAAAATTTTCAAAAGCAAACTAAAATTGTTTGGTAAAAGTTTGTTACTGGTTCATAAACTGACTTTATAATGTAGTAAAAAATATCAAAGGCAGGCAGCAAATAATGCTGACTTATCCAGCAGTGGCTGCTCCTGCTACTGTATTAAGGAACAAGCAAAAGCAAAGTTGGCCATTAAAAAATATATAGAAAATGTCAAAATATTCCTTGTTTGCGGGAATGTGACCCAGTTATCCCTATTTAGCCTGCTGTTTTTTTTTGGGTGGGGGGAAGTATACAGGTTCTTTGCATATATCCTATAAGTATATATTTCAGGTAGCATATGTTAAAATACCTTTTTAATTCTCAAAATCCTATATTACCTACCAAAATTTTGAATAGCCCAACATTTCCTGTTCAGTTGTTCATTGCCCACCCAACAGTTGAAATCACCCACCGGTGGGCAAATCTTGGGATAGTGGCTCACCCAAATACTAATTTATCAATTCTCTTCTCTGTATTTCATTGTGGTATGCCAGCAATAAGACATTTTTTTTTTGTTCATATATTTGTATATAGGACATAATATAAGGAAGTGGGGAGTCATACTTTTTCCAAGGGCATTAGTGCTAAAAGAAATGAACCATTTTAATTGATTCACCAATTCTGATAACTACTATGCTACCTTATGCCTCCCATCTGTATAATCTTATAAAAAACTAGTCTTACTTTTTTATTGATTGGTTTTCTCACACTAGAGGAACCAGAAAGAGAGGGAAGGGATAAAGCAAGTCTCTGTTTCTGTGTGTTCTCATCTGCTGCTGGTAATATCACTATCTTCCTCCCATCCAGCTGTGGGCAAAACAAAAGAGTAGAATAAGATTTCTAGCTTTGGTAGGGCAACCAGTCTAAGAGGACAACTCTGAATTTAAAACCATGGAGAAGTCAACTGGAAATCACTCCACTATCTTTTTTTCCAAGGAGTCATGGCAATTCACAAATGTTAAAAAGAAAATGTGGCATGACAAAAATAACATCAATACTGTTGCTGCATCTGATGATGTATCAGCAGTAGCATGATGATCTTTTTATTTTAAAATTATTTCATTCCAAGCAAGGCAATAAAGCCACTAAGATGCAAAAGATTACTGAGTGAGAATATAAAAAATAAAACATTATTAAGGTGAGAGAACAATAAAAGAACAAGAACTAAGAAGATGGCATATAACGATTCTTGAAGATCAAAGTTGACAGGAAAGCAAGAAGCCAGAACAGAGTTCCACAAGCAAGAAGTGCAAGAGAATAAACTGTTAGCATAGAAATTATGGTTACATCTAGCCATTTCAACTATAAAATTGCCACCAATCTAGTAGTGAGATTAAATTCATAAAGTCTATGTATCAAAGAGAAGTTCATCAGAAGATTTACCATGAAAATATTCTTAGAAAAGACACAGGGAAAGTATGTTACAGTAGTGGGAAAGTGACTGAAGCTGATATGCCAGGTCCGGACCAATGACATTGCAAATTTTTCTTTGGATTTCATCAAGAATCTCTAAATACATAATAGAAGCACTAGAGCAGATGTGGCAGGAATCTGATTGGTAGGCATTGAGGAACATGAAATTACCTCTTAATTGCTGTTGTTTCCAAGTCCACCCTGACCCAGGGTGGTAGAACCTGTTAGGGTCCCAGCTATGGGCAAATAGTTAACCCTTAAACTGGAGTCAATACACTATGAAAGTATAAAAATAGATTTTTATAGTAAACAAACCAGCAATACATTTGACTCTCGACAAAAGCCCTCTTTACAAAAATATGTCAATGAAACCTGATCTACAATCCGATTTATTACAAAGAATACATATTCTATTCATATGAACCTATTCTAAAAATCTTGTTGGCATTAAATAACCCATTGAGGCTGATATGACATAAAACAAAATAAACCAAACTCTCACCAGTGGAACTCCCTTCTGATTTCTTGCTTCCCTGATAACTACAATCTTCAAAATTTTAAATGCAACATCAGTTGCCAACTACTGTCTTGAACCCTATTCCTTCTTGTCTTTTCTTCAATGCTCCCTACTAAAGTCTTCTCAATGTCTTTCACTCTCTGTAACCCCCTGTATTCTGTTAGTATTATTGCCTTACTTGGGGTGAAATGATTAAAAAAAAATTAGTATTGGTGAAATTAACTATTTTCATGCAGTAAACATTTGGCATTCATTGACCAAACAGTTACTGTGAAATAATTGGCTATGGTTAAATATAAATGACAAAATTCTCAATAAATAATAAGGGGGGAGAAAAAAAACAACAAAAATAGTACAAGATAAACGTACCCCAGATGACATGAATTTAACGGATGGCAGAATTCGTTGAAAAATACATCCCCACCCGTACCTAAACTTAAACTCTTTTTCGAACATAACAAATAACTGATACAACAAAAGTTAATAAAAATGAACATGCTACCACCCCTTGTCTGGCTGATTGTATTTCTCTGTATCCTTGGTAACCGTAAATTGTGAATTTCCCTTGCAGTTAAAAGTCAGTAAATTTAAAAAAATAAGTTGCTCCAAAATTCGCTTGAGGATGAAATGGAACTAATATTTTTAATTTAATTGCAAAGTTAAATTTAAAGTTTTTAGCTTCCATTTTTGAAACATGGTTATTACTGTGTAGCGAAAAAAATCATATTTTAAATCTTAATGCTCTGTAAATTTACATTGAGCACTATTTTGTAAAAAATAAAAAAAAATATCAATAAGAACACCAGATTACATATCTTACTTTTTTTTATTTTTTTATATTATATATATATATATATATATATATATATATATATTTATTGCAAAGCAACCAGTTCATTAAGTAAGTGGGTTCAAAACAAAAGAGATCAAAAGTAATTATAGCATTCTGACTTCAAGGCAAGAAAAAAAAAATGTGGGTATGAGACTGATAATTGTCCATTTTTATTGGATTGAAAGAAACTCCAGCATGCATCTCTAGCATTTGTCTATAAATTTGGAGAGGGAATATTTTTAGCAGTCAATTCCTAGCAGATTGTAACTAAATAGTTGCTGCTACTGTCAGAAATTTATAAAATCTTTTTCTTAAAACAGTTTTTCAAGAAATTAAACTTCCCAAGTCCACTGTTATCACTCTCAATCATATTGACACAGCTTCCCTTTCTAAGGTGGTGTGGAAAGTCAACATCTTGATTATAGTCTCACAAACCACTACTATGTGGTACTAACTCCAAAGATGTTGCTTTCCCAACCACAACAATCTTAACTAGTGTTAACTGTTATCTTTCCCACTTATAAATTGTGCCTCTTACCTCTTATACTTACCGCTCACACAACAACCTCCTTCAGTTACCCTGTACCTTAAGTGGTTCTTGGGCCTTGTATAAGGTGAATATTAATAAAAAAAAAAATTTTTTTAAATCATTATTTGCTCATCTGTTTAGTTATAATCTAATTTCTATAATAATAGTTAAAGTACCAAACAAGCATTCAGACACTTTAATTATGTTTATTTTGTTAAGTAGATTTTGCTGCAATAAAATTCTTTTTCTGATGATGTCAGCTCATTGGTCAAAATAAAAGTTTTACAAATTGTCCTACATATATTTAGCATTCTGTTGCATTCTCATACAAATTTTATATACATAGATAATGATAATGAAGAAGAGTGTAAATATATAAATTGTTCACTTTACAGAATGAGAACCCTGGACCTGGTAAATACCTGAGCCATACAAATTTTGAGTCAAGCAGCACCTCATATTCCCAAAAAGGTACTGGTGGACTGGCTTCAAAGGTAAGTAGAATATTGTCTTGTAATCCCAAGTCTATATATACATTCCAAGATAAAACTTTTGAATAAATATTCAGCTTGTTATTCCAATTTTCTTACATACAAAGAACAGGTAATTTTTGTTTTTCTTAATAAGACATGAGGAATCATTGTATTAATATTATATTCATTGGATCTGTAATTAATCTGTTGTGGTGTTCAGGTGAGGCATTGGCTTTGTCTGAATGCTATTTTTAATATAATTTTTTAGGGTTAAAAAGGGTATCACAAGCTACAATGGGATAACTACATATATATATATTTATATATATATATATAAAACAAAAGAGGTCTGTGTGTACCTTTTCACTCAGGGTCCATCCAACTGATTTTAACAAAACTTGGCACATACATTGTACAATGTAAGAGATAGGGTCTTAGCGTAAAAAAGTGATAATATTTAAAAAGTCAATAATTGATAAAGCCAATCAAAAATCAATAAATTCAACTTTTTTCCTACCTTTTTGTTCAAACTCGGTATGTGGGTTACTTACATCATGACATTTTCAATGATACCTCATTTTTATTTCTATGCCACTGCGTTTAGTGAAAAAATGCAAAAAATGAATCGATTTCAACACAAATTTTAAACTAAAAACTCCCTCAATTTTCAAGCAATCTAATACAGACTTCACTTCAATAAGTTGATTGTTTAACAATCATTTAACTTGATAATTCAGTCCACTCATATAGTGAAAACCTGCATAAATAGCAAAAAATGATGATTTTTACTGATTTCTTTCTTATTTTTCATTGATCTTCAATCAATTTTCATCAAACTTAACAATTGCTTTATAAATCTATCCTTTTTTACATCCCTGATAGCACACTGACAAAGTGAATTTCAAAATCTCCAAAATAATTGTTGTCTGAAGTGGGTCTTCATGTTGCCTGTTTTACCCCTTCATGTCCTCAGCTAACTTCGATTGAATAAATACAGACTACTTCTGTTATATCAATAACTGCATTAATTCAAAATGTTTTTTAATGAAAGTACTTTAAAGTAATTGAAGAAGATAGACTCTGTTACATCTAAACATGATGCTGTTTTTGCTCCATTCTAATTGAACACTTTTTCTGATCAACCAGCTGGGTATGGCTGCTAGTATTACAAATAAAATCATGTATGAGATAGAAGAAAATAAAATTTGGTAATTTTTTGTTTTAGAATAGTTATGTGGACATTGTAATAATGCTAGTTTGTTTAGTTGGCATGGAAGATTGCTATGCAATGATAAATTTGTACATATGAAATGCAGGAAGCCTATGCATAATTTCTTCCATTTGGTCTGGGGTAGTTATATCTTTTAGTTTATTGTAGTCCTGTTTGTTGCTGTTAAGGGTGTTCAATTTTTCTTTGGCTATTTCAATTTGCCTTTTCACCAGACTAGTTATAATTCCAAGTGTTGATAGTTTGGTGGGCTGCTAAATTGTGTGTATTTAGGCAGCATTTTTTTTATTAATGCATGTTTTGTTGAATATATATATATATATATATATATATATATATATATATATATATATAGAGAGAGAGAGAGAGAGTGTGAATAAACAAAGTGAAAATAAATCTGGTTAGAGGAGACAAACTGAAAAAAAGAAACCTGATATATATGACCAGTGTTTTCTGGGTTAATTTTTACATTTTGGGTAAATGCGATCATTGTTAGGGAATGGGATTGGTCTGGTGCAAGATATTCTTCAGTTTAAAAAGCTTCACTCACAGGCATCGCCAGTGAAAAGTTTAATCACACAAGGATCTCTGTGTTTTTAAACATAAAAACCAAGGCTGAGAAAGACACTCAAACTCAATGAAAGTTAATAACTACATATCAGAGAATGTGAAACACTGGCTGGGCTTAAAAGCCACATATGTACTGCATGCTGGTGAATAGGTATAAATGTGGGCACTGAGATCAATACTGAGTGGCAACAGTCTGTTTCATGTTTGAAGAAGAAAGCTATCTTCAGGCAATGATGTTCTTCTTCAAGCATGAAATAGACTGTTGCTACTCGGTTTTGACCTGAAAGTCCACTTTTATATTTACACAAGCTCTTGCCAGATATTGAGCAATTTTACCCATAAATACAGGTTGAGTATCCTTTTTCCGAAATTCTAAAATCCAAAAGTTTTCAGGTGCTGACATGACTTGCCACAAATGGAAAATTTCAGAAAGCCCTGGGAAAGTTATTAGGTGTTGTGCATCCACTGTAAGTGGCCTAATCTGCCTTGGGTAAGGATTCCCCATCCCAGCTATGTAGCCTACATTGGCACCAGTTTTTTTGTGTCAGAGCAACACCATCATTTGTGGATTACTTACCAGCTGTTTCATGTTCACTAATGATATTATTCAAAATTCCAAAAAGTCCTGCATTTATATATATTTTGTAAGTAGTGATCATGTTTTTTATACATGTACAGAAAGTACAAAACATTGTTTTTAATTGAAATCTTAATTTCACTGCTTAAAAATCCATGTGAGCATTACATGACTACTGTCATTACCTGTATCTGTATGTAGACAAAATTTATTAAATTTTATACAAAACTACTTTCAGTGTATATGTATAAGCTGTGTTATGAAATATAAAGGGATATCATGCTTATGCTTGCGTTCCATTCCCAGGCTGCCCTATTTTACAGATGCTATATACAAATTAAATAGACTGTATTCTAAAGTCCCCCCAAAAATCTGAAAATCCAAGCTCTTCCTAAAAATTTTGTTTAAAGGATTCTCAACCTGTATAACATACCTTAAAACTATATTTTCATCATATTTGCAACCAGGGCGTTACAACATATCACCTTTCTAGGCAGATCTTTTTTATCACAATATGGGATATTTAATAACAAAAGTGATGGAAACATAAGCAAAAAGAAAAAGAATCTAAATGAAATTGGTTAGATTATATATCCCAAACATATTAAAAAAAAAAAAAAAATTTAAATTTAAATTTTTCAGCATTTCTCTTTTGTTCATACACATGTAGTTGTATCAATGTAGATATAAACTTAGTCCCATGAAGTCCTAAAGGGCAAAATGCATCATGCAAAAACTTTTTTCACTTTGTCATATACATCAAGAAATATATATATATATATATATATATATATACTATTGTCCTCATCTTTTTTGTTATCACAATGTTTTGGCCATTGTGCCCTCCAGCCTTCCTCAAAAGTACATCTACATCGATCTGGGTAACCTACAGTGTATTTTAAGCTGAACACTTTATTTAATCTATGGGGGTGAACTTCTCATTCCACTGCTCATGTCTAATCACTAGAGCATCCACAGTAAATTTGTGTCCTCATTCTTACACCATTTCATCTTTCTTGGCAGATCTTCTATTATAAACTGGCTAGACTATATACCCAAAACATATATTAAAAAAGAAATTTAAATTTAAAATTTCTCAGTGTACTCTTTTCTTCATGCACCTTGCATCAACGTAAACACCACTATAGTTGAGCAGATTTTTGAAAAGTGATATTAAAAAATATAACAACAATAATCTTAAACTCAACCCAGACCTAAAGTGGAATTCATATATTCATTGATAAAGATACTGGAAAAATGGTTGGTTCCCTGTACCACTCCAGTAAGTACCTGACTCCTCCTGTTATCCTCTGTCATTACAAGAGTCAGATCAGGCTGTAAATGGAGTATATCTGCCATATATTGACAGGAGCTGCTCAGTCTTCACTTTTCAGTCTCAAAGTCCAAAAGTGTTTCTGCATCCTTGTGGGTGACATTATTTTCTACTCTACAACCCCTTTCGCATAGACAAAATGTTGCAAGCTCCTCACTGCTCTATCACGATTTCCAAGGAAAGTGTTCAGACAAACGACACTCCTTAGTTCCATCAGTTCTTACCTTAGACCCATCGTGCCACACACATTATAGTGAACCACTCTCATTCCATCATATTCCATTGAGGAGATGTAAGTTCCAGAAGCTGTTGCTCTGTGGAACTGACTCTCAAGAGAATGCTTCCCTGATCAATATAATCTTAACCTGTTCAAATCTAGGATTAACCATTATCTTCCCCATATAATTGCATAAACTGTCTCTTGTTCTGTAACCCTCTATCTCAAGTGACTCCCTGGCCTTGTACAGAGTGAAAAAAAAAAAAGTCCTTAGTAATATTTGTCTCTTTGTGAAACCTCCACCCTATTCCAATATCAGGATGGATGCCGCTTAGAAGGGATTTTTAAGTGTGCCCACATCTTGACCGAATGTGACACAAGATCAGTTTAGAAGTGGGTTTAACAGCAATACTGTCAAAAAATTTCTCAAGCCCTCTTGGCATTTTTCCTTTTAGGGGTGCCTTAGGTGCTGGGTGTTAGACATTCTCATGACGGTCGTCCTCGAGTATCGCATCCAGAGGTTGGCAGTGAATATTTCGGAGACAGTAGGAAAGCGTAGTGGAGGTTCGCAGTGGATATCACAGCAGAGTGTAGTTCATCCTTCGCCTTTGGTCCTTCCGGTAGGAGGAAACAAGATGGCCACCTTTATACACTATGAATACAGTGTTGGGCGGCTTCTGATTGGTCAACCTTCTATTGGTCGACTATAAAGGAAAATAAGTCATTCTGACTCGCTCACTAGTTGTATGGTATATACCCAAAAAAAAACGTAACACTGGGCAGTCATAAGTAAAGTGGGTCAGAAAGGGTAATACCCAAATTTACATGCAAGTGTGTCACATCATGCGTGTATCACACAGAACTAGACTGAAATACCAACAGAGGCATTTTAGCTTATTTTCACTGACCTAGATTGTATTATACTCGGATCTACTTACATTTATGCATAGTTTTGTGGACTGACAAAGGAATTTCTTTATCCCTGGACAACTTTTGTCACCTCTGCTTATGCAGGAAGCACAGGCTTATGCAGGAAGCCTCCTTAAATATGAACCACTGGAAAGTGCAGACAGTTTGAGGCCAATTTCGGTTGCCAACTGTATCAATTAGCTCATCATGTCAAACTCACTTGAAAAGTAATTCCCTTGCCACAAATTTCCTAGCAGTGGATGACAAAATTGAAAAAAAGCAAGAGCCAACACCTTTTTTCTTTATCTTCCTGTAATTACTGCCTGTGTTGTAATAATAATGTAATTTCATTGGATAATTTTTGTTGTTTTATTTTTTTTAATAATTCCTTATTATTGAAGATAATTCTGCTCATTGAGTCATCTATTCCTACAAAGGCATTATTCACCCAATCTCTAGACCCCCCAAAAATAGAACAAGGCTCATCAAGAAAGGAAAAAAGTAAATAATTTTTTTTCTTGCTGCAAATCACAATCCACCAGACAATATGACCAACTGTGAATAGCACCACAACCCACAAAGACAAACACAGCAAAGTTATCATAGGCACAAGTGTGTGTTCCTATAACAAACCCAACTGGAATTGGAACTTGGCTCTCCAAAATTCCAAGCCATTATCTATTACACTACCTACACATTCAAGCTTATAACATCTGGTATTTCCAAGCAGTTACCCATCTAGATACTGAACAGGATTTATGTTGACTTTGGTGATTGTATGGAAACCAATGTTTCAACATGATATGGCCATAAGCCAAATTAGTATATAGGAGGTAAATGCAAGGTTAATTATCTATACTTTCTAGATTACATTTCATTTATTAGTCATTAAATTATATCACTTAGCATCCTTCATAATTTACCTTGATTTTCAGTTAGCCTGATGTATAATTATGAGCAATTTAAAGATTCTGATAAAATAACATCATTTTTACTTGTGTTTATAATTACTTGTTGCAAAATAAAATCCTTACATTGCCTTGATAAAGTCCATCAGAATATGAAATGTGTTGGCTAAGAAAAAGTTTCCTTTTGTTTTTATTCATCACATTCTATATTCATATTTTATAAATAAAATTTAAAGCACAGACCTGAACAGTTTGGCATTAAGGGCTTTTTTTGTCAGTATACAAACATCATATGTTTATTTTAGTTTCTCATATGTTCTATTTTCTTTCCTTTCTATCTTTTCATTTTAGACCAAACGCAACATTGGAGTTCTGAACTCAAGACAGCAAGGAGGGTCATTTATTCTTCTCCCTTCATCATTTAATCAGAAACAGGATTTCAATCGGTCTGGCAACACAAGAATTTTTCAGAAGGAAATAACAAAGAAAATAGAAGCACAGCCCACACCAGCACCAAATCAGTACAAGGTGAGTTGGTTAAGAAATAAGAAGGAAATGCATATGTTTTCTTTCTTTCATTAATCTTTTACTCATATTTAATTATGAAAGAATCTAAGAAAATGCCTATTCTCAATAAAGTGATATTTGGGCATATAATGAAATGTTGACTTTTCAAAAGTATGTCGTTGAACATTTTAAAAAACATATTTTATTATGAATATAGAACATCAACATTACTGTAATCCTTTGTGTATAGATCGTATAAATATAAGACACAGTTTTAAAAGAAAAAGCAGAGAAATTTTTTAAAAAAAGGCTCATTTTCCTATACAAAACACACCTGGTTTTAGAGAAAAGAAAATGACTAAACATGTGAAAAAGGAAGAGAAAAAATGGGAAAAAAAACAGGATATTTTGTTTACTTTTTTTGATTCATAAGCATTATGAAAAGATCAAAGTCAGTAATTGGCTTTTAACAAAATTTCCTAAGGGCCCTGACTGTGAAACAGTCATTAATTACCTTTCAATAAAAAATTGTTTTTAATGATTTTTATTTTGAAATTATATATCAATTTGTATTTTTTTTTTTTATCACAAATTGTATATTTTTACCTTTTGAATGATTTCTGAACATTATTAAAGATTTATCTCCCTTTGTTGCAATACACCATTAGATAGATATTATCTCTCTGGTAAACAAATAAATCCAATTTGACCCAATTTTGTCTGTTTTGAGTGCTGAAAAAACAGGATTGAGTTCTAAACTAAAGTACAGGATGCTGTGGACATTTGGACATGATTTTGGATGAAAAAGTCTGCGTTTTATACACACAGGATTACAATTTATTTTTGTCTTTCAAATAAATAAAATTTTATTAACTATTTTTTGTATCATGTAAATATTTCAATTTTTACTAAGACTTTGATTATGCAACAATATAAGAAAATAATTGTTGTTCTATGACTATTTTCAATAAAGTCGTACTCATATTTGAGCACTGATTCTTTTTTCTTTACTTTGTTTTTACTGGAAGAGCAGAAAATTATTTTAAAATATTGGAAATATTGGTCTTTTTTCCATAAGATAAAACTCAAATTACCAAACAATCCAGCAACATTTTGTATAGGCAAAAAAAGAATATTATAATTTTATTAAAACTAAAAATGTTTTTTGGCTATAATCAATTTTTTCTGATTCAATTTTTTAAAAGAATTCTATGAAAAGTTTCAGAATATTATTTTCGAATATTATTAAAATCTTTAAAAAATTTTTAAATGATCTTTTCTTTGCATAACAAAATGTTGACTTTGTATATAATCATTTTGTTTTGTATATAATTCATTATACTGATATAATTATTATTGTACTTACTATATATGATAGTATATACAACAAATTTTCTCCTAAATAATAGAACTTCCTAAATTTGTAATAAGTGCACAAACATAAATTTGTTTTGAACTGGGCCAAATAGGGAAGATGGATGAAGTTATATTAACATTCAATGTAACATCAAGCAATTATTTTTCCATATTCTTTGCTAAAATGATGCAGTCTTATAATGCCTTTAAATTCTTTCTTTTCTTTTTTTTTCTTTTTTTGACAGTTTCTATATTTGACATTTTTCTTCAATCAAAAATTCATGAATTTACAATAAATACACAAAAATAAATTTGTTTTCTACTGGGATAAATAAGGGACATAGTTGAAATTCAGTTAACATTCAATGTAGTATCCAACAATGTTTTCTTAATATTCTTTGCTGAAAAAGGAGAATGATCAGTTTTATATGCCATCAAATACAGTATCTAATTTGTTTTATTACAAATTTTTAAATGATCTTTTATCAGCATACAAGAATGATGACTGTATAATTTTTATACCTAATATAATTCATTATACTTATATAATTATTATTGCTATTATAATATAATTCATTATAAAAAAATTTAAATGATCTTTTATCAGTATAAAATATAATAACTTTTATATCATTTTTACACTTATCCTCTTAATATAATTCATTATACTTTCTATAAAATTTTTTAAATATTCTTTCTTCAACATAAAATGTTGACTTTCTTAATTTTTGAAAGAATATTATTGAAACTTTTTTAAAAAGTATCATTTTTTTTACAAACATAGAATATCAAAATTAATTTATTTTTGCCTTTCAAAACCAGAATAATACAGATACAGCAGAAATACCTCCCACATTTTAAAGGTTGACAAAAAACCCAGGTAACTGCTTATAAAAAATTTATCTCATTGCTGTTTAAACCTGATTCATCTAGAAATGGCATTCTCCAAATGGTGGCCTCTATCACTGTAGATGATTTCTAAAGTTTGCCATCACCTGGAAGTTTGAGTACTTTGAGGTTTTACAGGTGGCTTTCTTTTAAGCATAGGGCCTGTAGCTCTGAAATTTTCAACCCCATAGCAGTATTGAATTTCTGTCCTTAACAGCATCATTCCAACATAACATGAAAAGAGCACAAAATACTTTCTGTGTTGCAATTGCAGATTCACCAATCTTACAAAATGTTTCAACTGCAAACACATAGTATGCAGTGGTCCAAGCCACAATGGTAACTGATCATATCTGAAAAAAATAGTAAGACATTAGCTAGATGAAGACATTGTCACTTGCCTAAGTTCACTAGCATCACACATGTGGCAGTTTAAAATGTGGGAGGTATTTCTGCTACACACTTGTATTAAATAAAATTTTCTTAAATTTTTTGTATTGTGACTATATTTCAGTTTTTACCAAGAACATGTTGACTCATGCTAAATCTATTAAAATGAAATGGAGTTAAATTAAACTTTACAAGAGACCAAATGAAGTGTTTGTTTGTCTTTTATTTCTCGGTGTTGTCATTTGCCAGATTAACATAAACCCAATAAAGAAATCCTCAACAGAAGCAGGATTTCAATCCCAGACAAAAAGAGAAATGAATTATTTAAAAGAAGCAAGCAAAATTCCAGCACCATGTACGTAATTTTTTTAGAAAAGAATCAGTTGTTTTTATTTTTTGTTCATAATTCACTTCCATAATAACATTCTATGTTCTGCATAAATCTTATGTGCATGAGAAGATCAGTACATGTCAACTTCAGTCAAGATCATAGGACACACAGCTTCATGCCTCAGTTTATTGTGAGCTTCATAATCCTTTCCATAGCTATTGTATCATCAAGGCTACATATAGTCTTGAATACAGAGTTACTCTTCTCCTAGACTGGTTGCCAAACATGGCTAGAGAGCCCAATTTACCTCTGTATTTAACCCATAACTAGGCCAAGTAGTTAGAACGTTCACATTCTGACCATGAGACTGAGGTTCAAATCTCATTATGGTCAATTTGCCAGGAAAAAGATTCCTGATGTTATCGGACTGGAAGGGTCGATCCCAGTGTACGGCAACTTTGAAAAATGCCTGAAAACCATATCACAAGTTGACCCAAGACTTGTGAGTGAAATTGGGCAGACAGAACCCTTGAGGGCGTTGATAGCTATGCTAGCACGACATCATGGCCGAAGGCTTGAGTGTGCTGGTTTCATTCAAATTGCTGATCATGCTAGATAACATGCTCTTCCCCAGAAACTGTAACTAAGGTTTGCTCAGCATAGTTGCAGTATAAGGCTGTGTGGGTGTTGAATAAACACAAATGCACCTGAGCAAGCATCTGCAATAGGGGTTGGCTAGCTGCCCTAGTAGACGGGTATCCTTGAATACGAGTGGCCAGCTATACATACATACATACATACATACATACAGGGGGTGGTTTCATACCTTTCTCCAGAGGTATTTGTGTGAAAGTGAATGTAATAAACTTGACTAGAATTCGAACTCAGCCTGATAATTTCTCATTTCAAGCCACCAGTCATTACACCTCAGCACATCCTGCGGAGATAGATTCATTCCTAAATAAATAAAACCATTTTTTTTTTTCTTTTAAATTTCAACCTGCAAAAAAAAGTTATGCTGATAAAATTAATGGCTGCTTTGGGAAAGGTTATAAATCTTGTTTGTACTGAAAATCAGTTGTAAAGAATAATATTGATGTGCAGGTTGGGTAATGATTATCAACACAGAAAAAGGGTCGTAGTGGAATTCTGTGATGGATTGTGCAATCGATTCCACTGTAGATAAACTGGTCTTTTGTGACAGTGTTGTGCCAGAAATTTTGTTTGCAAGCAGTTCCATTAATTTCAACTGTTGCTGAAGAAGTAGTTGAATTGGATTGTCCATGATGAAAGAAAAAAAAATGTTTCTTTTTGTGATGTTCTATCTCATCGTCGTCACCAAACTGTTATAGCTGCTGTTATAATGAAATAAGCAAGTTGAAGATCAGATATTGTTATTAGTTCCCTACCTCAAGGGCCTCCCAAACATATAAATACTAAAGGAAAATGAAAAGAAGGGTGCCAAAATATGTTTACCATTTTTATTAAATGTAACAATGCAAAACAACATAACATGACATAAACATGTACTTACAATAGATGAGGTTTGCACTCTACAAGGTTACTACCTTTGCATTAAGGTTAGGTGAGGTCATCAGCTACCATCTAGGAATGGTCTAACTTTGGTCATTGGTCTTCTCATGACCGGACTGAATCTAACTGTGTCAAGGGTCTTAATTTATCACAGTAAGAACGACTGAGATGGCAATAACTTGCCTTGCTAGATGATGGGTTCTATCTAAAAACCTACACTTGATTTTATGACAGATTCAGAGTATGCATCATCACTACTTCCATTCCAATTCCATAGTTTCTGTTTCAAAATGGCTTATCTTGAGGTTTCTTTTTTGGAAACTGATTTTATGGTACAGGAGAAAAAGGGAACTTGTGTAAGTGCTCGGTATCAATTTTTAAATTAATTTAAAAGAAAAGTTGTATCTTGCTTTTGTGTTTACGTTTTTTACTGTTTATTTTTATTTATCCACAATTTTATTTCATGAGGCATTAAGCTTCGATTTGGCATGTACAATTCCTGGGTCTACTGAGAATTGCTTTTTAGAGTGCCATTTGATCCACCAGATGATCCTCTCCAAGTGTTGTGGCATCAGGGGAAGTCTTGACTAGAGGCGTGTGTTCACATAGTCCTGATGCATGTCAATGATTCCAATGGTCTATGTTGACACTCCTGGGACCACATTTGCTTCAATCTGTGCTATGGACACCATGCTGACTTGGTAAGCATTTATACTATCCAGAACCTAGTCCATGACTCAAGTTTTAAGGTTAATGTTTTGGTTTTGTAGCAATTCACATTGTTGAGTGAAACTACTTCTTGCACTGCCTCTGCTCAGTTTCCTTTTCACTTATACTAAATTTGTTATAATTGTTCAAGTGAGCACTTCTTGATACTTCAATTGAATGAATTTAAGCATACTAAGGCTACTAGGTCTCATAATTTTACTGTTTAAATCACTAGATGTAATCATGTTCTATTCTAATAGTTTCTTTTCTTTCCTGTGGAACTCTCTTCCAGTTTCTTGCTTCCCTACCACCTACAAGCTCTAAAAATTTAAATGCAATGTCAATCACCATCTTCTGTCTTCCTGAAAGCTGTTCTTTTATTGTCTTTTCTCCTCACTAAAGTCTTCTCATTCTCTTCCACTCCCTGCAACCCCTCGTGTCTAAGTGGCATTATCACTTTGACTTTGCTTGGGGTGAAATGATTTAAAAAAAAGGCCCACTATACTACATTTACAGGGTTGAATCACCCTTAATCTTTTCATATTTGTTATATCCTTAAAGAAGGTTACAAACAGACAAAGGTGGTACTTGAGTGAAAGGAACAGCAACACAGGCATAGATGAAAGAAAGGTTTATTGTAAAAGAAAATACACTACTGAAAGACAGGGAATCAGTTAGCAGGCTAGTAATTCCTGAAGCAAGTCCGCCAGGTATGTCCTGTGCACACTGATATAGTCAGTCCCCAATAGGCGATAGGGAGAGTGGGACATTCCATTACAACAATTTTTCATTTGTAAGAAGGAAGTTTCACCCAGATAGCTTTTTCCAAAAACCTTGTCAAACAGATTCCTGCAGGGATACTTCCCTGAACTCTACAATCTTAAACTCTTTAAGTCCAGGGTCAGTCATTATCTATGCTTTATATCCTCATAATTTTTATTTTCTGCTTCCTTCAATTACAGGATGTGCACGTAGTGTAATAGATAATGGAATGAGAAATCAGAGGGCGGAGTTCAAATACCAGTCAAATTTACACCCAAATACTCTTGGCAAAAGTATGAATCCTTTCAACCCCCCCCCCCCTAGCTAAATAGTAGGACTTGTATCTGGAAAAATCATTCTTATAATCAAAAAAGTTGTTGATGCAATATTGCAAAAAAAAAAAAACAAATATTTTTAAAATCCAAAATATGTTTTTGCTTTAAATAACCCACAAAGAATCAATCCTCCTCTTATATCCATGCCACTCCTCCATTCAGTATCTCTCTATATAGAGTGGTTCTGGAGCCTTGTTTTTGTGAACATTATTAAAACAAAAATACACTATTCTATTTAAGGGGTTTGATTATCTGTATCAGTTTGGGCCCTGGACTGATTGATGTATTTTTTATGTCTTATCAACCTATTGTGGGTTATTTAAAGCTGAAACATATTCTGGATGGTAAGAATAATTCTTTTTTGTTGTTTTGCAAGGGAAAACTGCATAGGATCTATTTAAAACAGGAAAAAAGATAGAAAACAAAGATGGAAATTGTGTATATTAAATACTGAACCCCCAGTTCTCAGTAAATTCGCTTCCTACAAAATTGACATATCCTGTTGTGTACATTTGGATTACTGCATCCTACACTGTGTCAATGTCAATACGCACTCATCAGCACAGTGTAAACTGATATCAGGATCTAGTTGCATGAATGTATAAACATATGACGTCATTTCTGTGCTTCACTATAAATGTCTCATGAAATTTGTTGAGAATTTCTTATTATTGTACAAGTTCTTTTTGTCAGCTTTACAAATCTCATTAATAAGGATAAACAGATTCAATTTTAAATGAATTCTTTATACATTTCTATAGTCTGCTCACAAAATATGTCTAATAAACAAACAAGAGCACAAATAACATGAATATGCATGTGCTATGGTTCAGGTCCTTGTACCATGGTGATGGTCTAAGGTAGACCCAACAAAGAAGAACTCGAACACAGATATGGAATAACACAGATATATTACAAACAGGAATATATACAGAGAAGTAGAAAGTGTTAATACGAACAATCAGGTTTAGTAGTAATTGTCTGAACACAACTCTGTATCTGACTGACTCCTGACGGACTTCACTCCAGACTTCAGACTGAACGGTATTTAGTCCCCACCCCCCCTACGAGGGCATCATGTGACACAAAGCCGGTTTAATGTGGGATCTCCTAGGCCATGGGCTCGGCCAAAAATATGCCCTTTGAACCCGTATAAACGGGTTCATGGTCGGTTTACCTCCCCGAAAGAGACTCCACCCTTCAGCGTAGCCTCGTTTGGGTTCCTCCCCACCCGAAGGCAGAGAGTTCAACCGATCAGCTGGTCATCCGACTTCAGACTGAACGGTATTTAGTCCCCCCCCCCCACGAGGGCATCATGTTCACAAGGCCGGTTTAACGTGGGATCTCTGAGCCCATGGGCTCGGCCAAAAATATACCTTTTGAACCTGTATAAATGGTTTCAGGGTCGGTTTACCTCCCCGAAAGAGACTCCGCCCTTCAGCATAGCCTCATTCAGGTTCCTCCCCACCCGAAGGCAGAGAGTTCAACCAATCAGCTGGTCAGCCAGTTGTCTGACTTCAGACTGAACTCCCTGCTTTCTTTTGAGGCGCAGTATTTATTACGTATTGGAATGGTCCATTATGTTATTATGAGTAAGGTCCCATAACAGCATGATTGTTATTTATATTGTTGTTGTTAAATTCATATTATTGTGATGCATCCCACTTTACATAAGGCCAAAAATGA